AGAAGCAATGGGCAGTGGAGGTGGGCTTATGCAAATGGACCACTGCCCTGATTTGCATATTTGACTATGCATCAGTCCACTGTGTAACCAGCGCCTCCCAGCTGGTCCCCAACCCCCACCTCTGGGGCAGCCAGAGGGGAACAGGAGAACTGGGGGGCCGACTGCAGAGATGGGACAGGTCACCCCTGTCCCCACCCTGCCCCGCCGGCTGCCCCCTTTCTGCCCTGACCCCGTCCCCTCCGGCAGGACGGCAGCACAGCCCTGTCCATCGCACGGGAGGCCGGGCACAACGAGATCGCCGTCATGCTCTACACCCACCTGAACTTCGCCAAGCCGCCCTCCCCGGTGAGTGACGCACGCCCCTCGCACGCACACATCCCTTGCACGGTGTGCGCCGCCTGGCCCGGGGCGTGGAATACGTACACATCCCTTGCACGGTGTGCACAGCCTGGCCTGGGGCATGAAACACACACACACATCCCTTGCACGGTGTGTGTGGCCCGGGGCATGGAACACACACACATCCCTTGCACAGTGTGTGCAGCCTGGCCCGGGGCATGGAACACACATACATCCCTCGCACGGTGTGCGTAGCCTGGCCCGGGGCATGAAACACACACACATCCCTTGCACGGTGTGTGCAGCCTGGCCCGGTGCACAGAACATGCTCACGCCCCTCACTGGCACAGGTGAAGCAGGGCTGGGGTGTGTAACTTGCACACACATGTTGCTTGTGCAAGGACGGGACATGTAACATGCATACACATGTGGCTGACATGGGTCGGTGCGTGTAACATGCACACATGTGGCTTGTGCAACGACGGGACATGTAACATGCACACACATGTGGCTGACATGGGTCGGTGCGTGTAACATGCACACGTGGCTGGCAGGGGTGGAGCAAGGACGGGCCATGTAACTCTCACACGCCCCCTCGCTGGCACGGGCGGTGGAGGCCTGGGTCCGAAGTCTGGGTCTGTTATGCATCACCTGTGGCTGGTGTGGGCCCTGCACTGTGCCTCAGTTTCCCCGTATGTAAAATGGGGAGATGGAGGGGGCGGGCAGGGCTGCAGCCAG